TATAAAAAAAAATATATATATATATATTTATTTGCCCTGGGCTGCCTGTTATGTGGCCCTTAATGGCTTGTCAAAACTCAGTAAACTGCCCTCTGCCCAAAATAATTACCTGCCTCTGACCTAGTGTCATGATGGGCGGACTGATGCTGGGTGGGGGGCAGGCCTAGAGGAGCTACTGCACTGCAAACTAGTAGTGCAGAAGATTGATAATATTGATAAACTCTTCTGAAGGGTTAATGACTAGAAAGCTCTTGTATAAATCCATTGTGTAGCAGTAGGTATGATGCATCTCCTACTTTTTTCAATAATTACAGGCTGATGGCCACTTCTTAATGAATGTAAAGAAGTAGTTGGGTAGGGTGCAGCTCAAGTGAGCTTGGCTTGTACAGATACGGCAACTTGCAAGTTCGCTTTTTAAAGCAGTGTGTCTTGTTTTGCAGTCTGATCTCCTGCTGGGCATCCTGGACAGTCTGGACCCAGACATGTTCTTACAAGACTGTGATTCGGAGTCAGCCTGTATGGAAAAGCTGGAAGAAGATATCTATGGAGAGGAATTGGATCCCTTACCAGCCGCCCCCTCTCCCTCTCTGGGGTCCCCATCAGCAAAGCTGGAAGCCATTAATGAACTGATACGATTTGACCATGTGTACACCAAGGCCCAAGTCTTGGAGATTCCTGCTCAAACAGTCAATCAAAGCCATCTGCTAGTGAAAATCGAGGAAGCATCTCTCTCCCCCTCAGAAGGCAAGGATCCTGCTGCCTTCCCAGCTACAGTGAAAGAAGAACCTGCAGACAACTTCCTGCCTGAGCTGGGCATTCTGCACCTGCTCTCAGCTGATCACAGTCTTCAGCCCTCTGGTTGTCTACTGGATGCCTGTAGTGACTCTGGATATGAAGGCTCCCCATCTCCCTTCAGTGACATGTCCTCTCCATTGGACACTGACCACACCTGGGGGGACACTTTTGCCAATGAACACTCTCCACAGCTGATCAGTGTGGGACTTTCCCCAGCTGATCAGTGTGTGATCTCCTCACTAGTATTATAGTTACTCCAGAGGAAGAAGTGGTGTCACCTGTGCAGGGCAGGAAATGTATCCTTTTTCTTAGTCACAAGTAAATACCGTCTTTCCCCACCCCAGCCCTTTTAAAAAAATATATATTTTTTTTTTTTATATAATATATATTTCCACCAAACCAAGTATTGTTATGCTTGTGCCCATCTTGGACCCCATGTGCTGCTGGGTACAACACTACCCTTTGCACCATTACATTTCTCCTGAAAAAGAAATACCAGGTCTACATGTAGGAGGGTAAGGGGAACATTTGGCTCGCAGCTTTCTGCCTCTGTTCACCTGTCCCAAACAACTTGCCCTTTTTAAGCAAGGCTTTCCTTGTTAAGCTAGCTCTTCACTTCACTTCTTTCCCTTTTTCAGCAGTGAAGTCCTTATTTTAGTTACACCAGTAGCCTACTGACCTGTGGAGGCTACTTTTCCCTGCATGTACAGATGACTGGATCAGTACAGTTCTTCAAAAAAAACCCAACTGTACAGTTTAACAGAAATTTACTGTGTAAATGCTTTAAGTTTTTGTTTTTCCTTTTGCTACTTAGTTTCAGGGAGTTGCTTTCTCCATTTAATATTTAAAAAAAATATTTGTGCAATTAAAAAAGTGCAATGCAGTGTGAGTCTGTATCTTTTTTTTTTTTCTTCTTAATGATCCAAAGGAAGGGGAAGTAATGACTTGCCACCTCTAGTAAACGGGCCTTGTGTATAAAGGAAACGGAGCAACTGGGGTATGTGCATACATGTCTCTTTAATGCAACACTTCTATAGAATAGCTGCTCTGGCAGGTTATAGCCTGCACCATCTGTTCTGTTGAGAGGTAGATGTCTGAGCTGTGTGCGCAAAGCAAGGCCTGAAAAGGAAGAGCTAGGAGCTGCCATGCTTCAGACTGCTTATTTACAGGGAGCCTATGGATTGCAGTGGCTTAGCCTTAAGTTAATAAACCACAACCATTAAGTTCTTGAAATAGGATGCACTCAAGTATGCCAGTCCAGGTAGTTACTAGATTATTTTTTTTTGGTACTCAATGGATGCAACCTACATGTCAACTCTCTGCTGTACCTCTTATTAGGAATAGATCTGATTAGTCAGGTCTCCAAGTGGCTAACTGTGCCAGGAAGGAGTCCAGTTACTGTTATTGCACTGTATTTCACTTTCTTCTACCAAAAAAAAAAAACCTATACTAGAAAAAACCTAGTAACTCAAACTACCACTCTTCTAAAAAAAACAAACCCCATTAGCTGGAGGCTAGGTCAAGCACCATAAACTCAGTATTTTCACAAAAACGTGGTAGTCACATTTCTAGTTCTAAACTACTGCTTGACTGATGTTCATCAATACTAACCCACAACCTGGACACCCAACCCATAGCATGCTTAATGGAGTGGGTTGGTATGTATTGAATTTGTGGCTGTGGTTCCTTTCTACAGCTTTAGAAACAAGACATTGTAATACATTTGCACATACTTCAGAAAGTTGTGTTACAACAGAAGACACTGAAATCGGTAAATGACTATATTTAAGGTGGGCTGTTTCAGAAGTCTCGACAGGCACCTCATCCCCAGGTTGGTACTACTACCACTCTATAGAATATTGCGTCTGGTTCTAGTGCGTACACTTCAATAAATGACACTTAAACTAGAAAGCTGAAGATGAGAATGATCCGGAACCTCTGACACCCATTTTATGGTAAGAAACTGAAGTTCAGTTTATTCATTTTGATCCAAGAAAAGGCTAAGAAGCAACACTACACAGTCAAAGTACATGCAGGGGGAGATTTTTGAAGAGGGCTCTTATAATAGACACGTGCAGAAAAAGAGCAAACGAAACAAAGATGAAATAAGAAAAACAAGCACATCTCAAGTTTTGTTTTGGGGGAGGGGAAAAGGTAATTAGAGCAGTTTATCAAGAGATGCATTAGGTTAATAATCACTTGAAATCTATGTTAAATTAGAGGTTGAAGTAGAATCCTGGAAAATTAGAGTGGGAAGGGATCTCGGGAGGTCACATCTAGCCCACCCCCAACTACATCATCTCAGCCAAGGCTTTGTCAAGCTGGGTCTTAAAAAATCTTCAAGGATGGAGAGGCCACCACCTCTGGGGGTAAACTATTCCAATGTTTTTCTACCCTTCTAGTGAGTGAATTTTTCCTAATATCCAATCTAAATTTCCCTTGCTGTAACTCGAGACAGTTGCTCCTTGTTCTGTCTTCTGCCACCCACCACTGAGAACAGTCCAGCTCCTCCTTTTTCAAACCTCCCATCAGGTACTTGAAGGCTGCTATTAAATCCCCTCTGTCTCCTCTCCTCCTGACTAAATAAACCAGGTGTCTCTGTCTCTCCTAATAAGTCATGTGCCCCAGCCCCCTCACCATTTTTGTTGCTCTCCTCTGGACTCTTTCCAATGTGTCCACATCCTTTCTGCAGTGGGGGCCCACAGCTGGATTCAGGACTCCAGATGTGGCCTCCCCGGTGCAGAATAGAGGGGAATGATCAATTCCCTTGACCTGCTGGCACTGCTCCTACCGATGCAGCCCAGGATGCCATTGGCTTTCTTGGCAACGTGGGCACACTGCTGGCTCCTATTCAGCTTCCTGTCCACTGTCACCCCAAGGTCCTTTTCTGCAGAGCTGCTGCCCACTCAGTCGGCCCCCAGGCTGCACCGGTACATGGGATTGTTTCATCCTAAGTGCAGGACTTAGCACTTGTCCTTGTTGAACCTCATGAGATTTCTTTTGGCCCAATCCTCCAATCTGTCTTGGTCACTCTGAATCCTAGCCTACCCGCCAGCATTGTGTTATCTGCAAACTTGCTGAGGGTGCACTCATCTCATCTTCCAGGCTGTTGATGAAGACATTGAACAAAACCAACCCCAGGACCGACCCCTGGGGCACTCCACTTGATACCGGCTGCCAACTAGACATCCAAGCCATTGATTACTACTCTGTAAGCCCAATGCTTGAGCCCATTTTCTATCCACCTTACAGTGCATTCATCCAGCCCGTATTTCCTTAGCTTGCTTATCGCAATGCTGTGGGAGACTGTCTCAAAAGCCTTGCTAAAATCAAGATACACCACATCCACTGGTCTCCCCGCAGCCATAGACCCAGTCACTTCATCATAGAAGGCAGTCAGGTTGGTCGGGCATGACTTGCCCTTGGTGAATCCATGTGGATTGTTCCTAATCACCTTTTTCTCCTCCAAGTCTTTCAAAATAGATTACTTGAGGATCTGCTCCAAGTAATGACAATGCTCCCACTGAATTCAAATAGACAACCTTTTTCCTTGCATCGTCTACAGCCCCCAGGCTACAGACTAAACACATTTACATGGAGTAGTAGCCACTATCTGAAAGCAGCACCTGTGGAGGCCTCACAATTGCACATATTGTCCAAGAAAAGCTCACGAAGGACTTCCCACTACCCTTGTGGCTATGGTTTCCCTTCCTGCACAGATGTGTGCATGAGACATCTGGCCTTTAGAGAACAGCTTCAACTGAAATGTGAAACCTTGCAACTGATGTCACTGTCTTTCTGTTCAGTCGTTCAATTAACCTTAAGCAGTTTATACATGTGGTGATGACAATAATTTACTTCTGGAAAAACAGTACACATCTGTGTAAAGCTTCATCTCACTATATCCACAGCATTCTTACAATGCAAGGTACAAAGAACTGGGGTAAAAAAATCTCTCTCTGCCCTGTTATAACTTAGGGCCCCCAGCAAGAAGCACAGCAAGTCTTGGTTCATTCTACTTGGGACTTCTCACTGTTTCACTCATTTTCCTGCAGCTCTCCATTTAGGGTACAGATTGACTCGTAAGCACTATTCCCCTTTGCTTAAAATAGTTTAGGTTACTGAAGATGTTACTTTGTTTAGTTTCACTTGCATAACAAGTTGGTAAATTAAAGATTTCCTATGCACCTGCGATTGGCCAGTAAAAATTAGGCCAGCGTGAGCAGGCAGCTATTTAATCCAGCTTCAGATCCTGCCGCTTTGGATGCCAGGGATCCGATCCGGAGCTCTGAATCGGTCTCTTGCTTAAATTCGCCTGAAGCGGCTCCGAAGCTCCGGAGCTCCGGCCATAGGGTATAATGGGGAATCAATGAAATAGCTATAACGTTGTTTTTGGTCTGATTTGGATGAAACATGCAGGGGTGGGGGTGGTAGCTTCTGCTGAGAGCACGAAGCCTACCAAGTTTCAAGAAGATCGGTTCAGGGGTTTGGGGGGAACTGAAGATGACAAGATGCATTCAAAGAAGGATACAGTAGACTTCTTTAAACCCCTATAAGGAGTAACAGAATGAAGAGGCACGTGCCTGACATTTTACCAGGAGGCAACCACCTTACCTCTCTTCTCCAGGAACTGGATTTGCATTACTCCAATGGGACAGTATTAGTCAAAATCTCTACAAAGCAGCTAACAAGAGAAAGAAACCTACTTCTCCTCAGTTCTATTCAGTCCATTCAGGAAAGCAGTGCTCCCACTGTGAGACATTTAAATAATTCTCCCATTCTGTGTCAAGCAAATGACCCACTGATCTTTTATTTATTATTCAAACCACATGGTTATCTGCTGCAAACAAAGCTAGACAATGTAGTAGTAAGAGCACATGTAGCCTAAGCCAGTACTCCTTCAGTAGTGGAAGAACTGCCTTTCCTTCTGGGTAGCCAAGGCCAGAGCACAAGGCAGATAGCACAGGAAGGCAAACCAAACTCAGCAGAATTTGCAACATGAGTTTTGGATTTGACAAGAGCAGGGTTGGAAAAAAACAGGATTTCAATATATTCCTGCAGATTAAATCTGGCAAGGAAAGATTTGTCTGTCTGATGGATAGCTGTTTTATATTGATTTTTTTCTTCCAACCAGTGTTCCTTTCAACTCGGATTTCTCTTGTTCCCATGCAGGGTCACTTCCAGAGCCATTTTCCTGAATCACTAACCAACAAAGATTCTTTGCACTTTAAAAACAGCTATGAGACTTACAACTGATGAAATCACTAAACTAGTTAGTTGTTTGAACACTGGGGTGTTTGAGATCCAAGTATGCAAGGTCTTCAATGACAGGGCCACGCCAACTGCAATGAATGCTCAATCCTGATGGTAACCTCTGCCTGTTCAATATAACATAATGGCAAGAGAAATTGGAAGCTACCAAGTGGAATATTCTCAGCTGTAACAGACCTTTTAACACCACACCTTTAACTACAGAAAATGTAAAACTTCAGTTCTTAGGCCATTACATTTTAAATGCAAAGCTAATCATATAGGCTGCATATCAAGAATGAGTTCCTTAGAATTATCCATTACATTAGAAAACAAGCAAGTAACTGAACCCATGATAGTTGAGCCACATAAGCTTGAGTTGCAACTCTCCTATGCCTGAAGAAGGGCAAGTGTGCCCGAAAACTTGCAAATATCTAATTGGCTTAATAAACGTTATCACCTCTACCACTAGTCCCGGTTTCTTTGGCCTGTAGACCAATACAGCTAAAACCTATAACTCTCAGGGACAGTAGTTCTCAACCTTTTTTGTAACAGGACCCATCTGTAAACTTTGATGGCCAATCCCGACTCAGTACCCATCACTCGCAATGCATTGCGCCCTGCCCAGTGTGTGGGGCCGGGGGTGGGAAAGGGAAGCCCCAAGCAGCCCCTTTCAGGCTGAAACTATCCCATGTTTTTCTCTTTTAAAAGGAGAATCCATTTTTAAAGTTTGTTCATGACCCGTTCACATATTCCTTTGACCCTCTTCGGGGTGGTGACAGGTTGAGAAACACTGCTCTGGGAGGCATGATTGACAAACCAATGAAGAGCTGTCAGCAGCAGCAGCACCTAGTGCCCAACTTGCAATACTGCATCATCCCGCGCTTAGAAGGGAGCTAGCTTCTGCCTGCATTTCCCACAGGCTAGAACTCACAGCCTCATTGATCTCATACACAACTATTCAAATGTTAATCTCTTCCTGGTTTGAACCCACATCCTCCTCCCAGCAAGTGGGTCTGTCCTATGCTCCTGTTTCTGGTAGGAGAATATGGGGATGGGTCAGAAAGGGCTGTGGCAAGAGCGCACGCTCCAGTCACAGCCTTTTTACTGCCCATCCAGAGGGGTTAGGCTGGGTAAGAGCAGCCCTTTGCACTGCCCAGGTGGAGGGGTCAAGTGCAGGGACACCCAGGGCAAGCTCATTTAGTTATGTCTCTGATCCTGCCTGATTTAGGTTCATCAGAAAACCCCAGCACAGGCAGAGGTGTGCAGCAGCACCCTGGTTGAGAATCAATGAGGTAGCACAACAGCAGTTTTCAACTGCAGGTGCCACTACATTAAAAAATGTTTTGAATGGCTCCCTGACTCTAATAAGGCCGAGAACTGCCCTAGAGGTTGGGAATATCTCAAATGTAATCAGTAAGCATTTAGTCAGTTTTTGTTTAGTTCCATGTCTAATACCCCAAATACGATGCTTCTAATACATAACCTGATACCCCAATGACACTTCTACTACCATTTTTGAAATAACAAAAATTAAACACAAACTGGAAGGGACAGAGGGAAAAAATATGACCATTTAAAAAAACGTTTTAAGATCATTTAAATAATGATCTTATTCTAAATTTAAAAAACATGTAATCTGAGGAAAATAAATTAAATAAATGTCAACATGCAACAGAATCTTATTTTTGAGGTAGGTAAAGGACAAAGCAATTCAAAAGCACTAGTTCAACTTTTGAGTGGCTGGGCAAAAACATTCAGCTTATTTCAGATATCTTCCTACCCTCATACATCTCTTAACTGAACTACAGCTGAAGGATTGCCTCAGTTGCTGGAAGTCTTGTCAAAAGAGAAGCCACTAACTGAGGGGAGACTAGCCAGTCTTGCACAGAAACGAAGTGGGAAGGAAGGAAAAGGCTAAAGAGTAACAAAGCAACCCTGACTTGTTAGTATGACGGGGAACCTTGCAGTAGGGTTACATCAGGAAAAGCTCCAGAGCAGGTGCAATAGCAAGGACTGTGCCTCCCATGTAAGTCAGTACCGAAGTAGTTCGAAATTATGGCAGGGGAAGGGGGCTAAGCCTTTCCTGGATCTGGTGCAGCAGCAGTGGTACTACTCATGCCTGCAAGGCTTAAGAAAAACTTGCAGATGGACAAGGTTTTAACACAATCGAGTGGTTTGATCCAGTACAGGAAACACCATTCCTTTAGTCACACCTCAGGTTTTGCCATCTGTAAATCAAAAATAGCTTTGACTGAGCTCACCTGCAGCTTGTTTAATCTTTAGAGAAGTGACTGAAGGCCCCTGAATAGACATAGGGTCAAAAAAACAATAATCAATTACTTTGTCTCATGTCCCCATAAAAGCTAGCTATTACACAGGTGCACATTTTAAAGCTTTTCTTAGTCTGAGTTTTCTTGAGTTATTAAAAAAAACAAAACAAAAAAAATCAGAGCTAGGCTGGTTAGCTAACTCTTGGTGTCAGTCGAATTTCCAGCTCTTCTTCACTGTACTCTGAAGACAGTAAAGAAAAGAATGGACAATGAGTCAGACACACAGACAATATTTTACACTCATTTTTGTACATTAAAGCTTCTTTCAAGAGTAACTAAGTGCTGTCTAGCTTTCATCCTAGTTTCCAGTAAAAATGTTAGTCACCTAAAGAAAACAAACCACACATTAAAAATTTTATTGAAAACTAATATACAAATAGTAATTTGGTCCCAACAAGACACGCTGGAATCAGATTTTCCTATTTCAAAATAAAGCATCATCAAGGGTTTCCATGGTGCTACACCATTTGTGCCATCTTATAACGTGCAGAATCAGCAGAAGTTCTTTAAGGAAGCGAACGAGAAATGTAACCATCATGAATGCACATCCTTTCAATTGCTCATCTACCCACGCCTTGGGCAATGGATAGTTAAAGCAGACTGCAGTTCAACAGCCCCGCTTAGTCTAGGGATGGAAGGCAGATCTCACTCCCTCATCAAGTTAAGAAACAAATGTTTCCTCTTTTTCAAAACAAACAAGAACTCGAACTCAAACTAGATGCTTGCTACTCGAAGCTGAGCTGCTTTCCATACAAGAGCCCTCATCTTATGGTTTATGCCACTAAGGAATCCTAGATTTGACAAGCAGAGTAAACTAGTTCAGGGGGCTCTGCACAGCACCAAAGGATTTGAAGTGGACACATACTTCTGAACAGCAACCTTTGGTACAAATGGGATATGCAAAGTTGTTAAAACCATAGAAAAAAAATCCCATTTGTACTAAGCATATACAATGATTAGTTTGTCTGCAACTCAGATGAATAGCTCTGAATGAAAAAACAGCAAGTCTAAGCGGGGAAAAAAAGCTGTTTGGATTTCATCGGCCTCCTAAGGTCCTTTGCATTCCTCTGCCACGGTTTTGCTGTTTCTGTTTTCTCCATCGGATTTGTTTCAGGCCAAACCCATTGTCTTAGCCCAGTCTCAGCCTTGAACCTTTTCCACAGCACTACAAGCTTGAAGAAGATACCTATTTGGGAGCATCACAGCATCCTCTACCCGCGTAGTAAATAATGCCTTCCCTCAAACTCCTTATGTTATATGTACTAGGCTTCAAACGCTGTACAATTTTAAGTGATTTGGTAGGTTTAAGCAACACACATAAGAAATTTTGCGTATTACATGACAACGAGGTTTTCAAACAGGAAATTAGATACAAGAATGGAAAAAAGGTGCACACATTTGTCCAGTACAGAAATCAATTATTTCAGTGGAAATATTTTACACCAGTTTCCAGCTTACTTCAATAACGACTTAAGTACCAGAACAATGTTAGTGTTATGAAAACTTTTGCTGATATATGAAACAAAGTTCTTTTTCTTGGGCAAGTATAGCCAGCCAGAAAACAGAGTGGAGAGTTGAACAGGTGTGGAGTTCCTCAACCAGCCTCCTTATGCCCAAGTCCAAAGGGGTCTCTTCTCAACAAAAAGCTACCACTACCAGCCAAAACAGCAGAAACACTGGCTTCAAAAGAAAAGCTCAATTAAAAAAAAAAATGTATATTTTGACAGAAGTTATTAAACAGAAGAATGTCCAATCACAAAGGCTATAGAGATGGTATGTAAGCAGAAACATGGAGCCACTGCAATGAATCCAAAGCTCTGTCATGGAAAGAACTACTGTACCTGTTTCATAGTTTCCAGCGTCGGAAGGGACCTGAACAGATCATCAAGTCCGACGCCCTGCCCTGGGCAGGAACGTAGTGCAAGGGAAGTCAAGGCAAATAGATTAGCATGGTAAATGAGTAAGGTTCCCAATATATCCCACCTCCCCTGCTAGAAGGAAAATTTTCCTTCAGATATCTTCAAGGAACCCCAGGAATGGGAACAAACAATAAAAACTTCTCTTCACTGACTAATGGAAGAGGGGATTCACTTCAGTATGATAAAAAGCTACTTCTGTTTGGATAGTTCAGAGAAACCCAAACTATTTTTTTCTTTTTAAAAAGTTTCTTGGGCCAGTGAGCGAGTAAAATTAAAGAGCCAACTTTTCAACTCAGTCACCAATTTTACTTCCTAGTGACAGCAAAAGCACAGGGTACTAGTGTAGTTCTAACTTGTGTTTCCCTACCACGCTGCAGAACAGTAGTTTTCCAGGCTTGCATTTTAAGGTTGAGCTCAAGCCAGTCACAAATGAAGCAAAAAGTACAGAACTGCTTTTTCACAAAGGTGGCTTGTCTACCTCAGATTCAACTCAAAAGATATCTTCTGCTTTCAAAATATCTGAGCAATCCCAAACAAAGCTAGCACACCAAGCAAAGCATACGCCAAAATCTTAATGGCTCAGCAAGCATAAGGGGTGGGTTGATCCCCTATTACATTCAGTATCTGCTGTGTACTTCTCACCAAAGGCAACTACTAAAAGGACATTTCCCAGTAAGCCAGTTGGAGAACTCCTTCCCTGTTCCAAAGTTCATGGGATTTCCTTGTAAAAATGTTATTTTTATTGGATTATAAAAGCTTCTCTTCTGTTTCTTAGAGCTGTGACTGCCCAAATCCACATTCTTCTGATTGTTACCATAAAACAAAACAACACAACCCAAATAATAACACTTCAGATCCACGTCTCATACCAAAAGCGAAGAGAGAATGAAACCAGCTACAGAAACCTTCAAAAATGTGCACATTTCAGTCTGCAATCTGGCTTCTACAATTCCATTTCCTCTTCTGCACACCCAGGGGCTCCCAAGCTAACATAGAGATCTGGAGACATCACAGTCCGTTGTGCTTCAGAGAATGTTTCAGTCTGTGGGTGGAAGGCAGCTCCACATGCTGACTGCTTAGCCTGGCACCCTTCTGTTTCCTGATGCTTGAAGTTTTTAGCAACAGAAACAGTCTTCAGTTTGTCCGTGAGGAATTCAGGGAGAGGTTTCCAAAGCACCAGCTCCATTGAGGGACGGCTCCTAGAACGGATGGAGTCTTAGTTTAATCAAAATTCTTTCAGTTACAACTGTAAATGGAGAGGACCCATTTTATTCTACGTCAGCACAAAACTGTTTCCCAGAGCACACATACTAGTATTTCACCGGGTCTATTTGGTGGGGAGGGAGGGGAAAGATCACTCCCTGTCAGAGACGCTCTCGCAACATGTTTTTCCTGATATTAATCCCAATGTTTCCTCTTTCTTTATTTCATTGCATTGCTTTCACTCCTAATACCACAAATAGGAGGGAAAAAAAAGCTTCTCTCCCATGGTACCAAATATGACCACCACTGTTTACAACACAACAGTTTCCCCTCAAGGCAGATTGTTTACATTAGCATATGGGTTAATGCAAGGGAGTTTATAGTTTAAATGGAAACTTTTTACTATAAATTGAAAATAAGTGTCCTATTTTTAACCAAATAAAAGATCCTGTTGCACAACACTGGTTACATCACAGAGAAGATCAAAGGGTCTCATCACAAATACTTTTCGATGACAGTGAAACCAAAGCTTAATGACAGATGGGACCCCTTCTCGTTTGCATGCCTTACCGATGCAGTACCAACATTTTTCCCACAACTTACATGGACTCTATTATTTTCTTTGTCAGGACTTCACCAAAATCCCTCTTCATCCCTTTTTTAAGGGTATCAGACAGGACAAGAGTGGGCAGATTGCTAGTATGTCCATCAGCATGAACATCATCATCTTCATCAATTATCCTAGAAATGGAGAGGAAAGGGGGAAATAACAGAGTATTGAGTACACAGCTATCAGTCATCTCAGTCCTGAGTAAAGGTATTTCTACGCTGCAGAGCGTTGTACAACACTGCCATATCATAAAAGAAAAGTACTGATTGCTAGTCAATGGAAAATCTAGTTCAGTCACAAGATATAAAAGGACTCTTAAAGTAGCAATTTCACCTTCTTAGCTCTTTTTCATTCATGAAATCCTTCATATTCAGATTTCTTGCTAGAGATTAAAATGACACAATGCTTGATCATCTAGGACCCATTACAAAGACTTTCTTTGATGCAAAACATTTTGCATCAAAGAATGCAATCTTTGTAATGGGTCCTAGGATGTACATCAGCACAGCATGTGAGAATCTGGAAAGAGCAAAAGAACAGAATCTTCTAAAAAGTTCCTAAAAATTAAAAAAACCCTCTATTAATAAGGCTGACACAAAAATGCCTTACACCCATGTACAAAAACACTGAGTACCCTTAAACTTAGTCCATCGAAGATCAGAAAATTATGTCTTTTGGGCACGTGTTGCATTTTAACATTGTTAAATACAGTTTGCATAATGCTCAATTTTTCTACAACATTTTGCAGAGGGTTCCTAGTTGCACTTTGCTCTGACCATTAAAAAAAAAAAAACTTCACATGAACACAATTTTTCAAGTATCTGACATTTCCTTCTACCACAGGAATTACAGTACTTTACAGGCTGAAGCTGACAGATGTGAACCACTGGTATAGACTGCACAAATCATGGAAAAGCCAAGCTTGTTTTCTGTATTTACTTCAAATGGTTTACTGCTTTAACTAACAACTTATTATCAGGTGCGACTTATTATCTGGGCTTTCTATTAAGGGAAGTTTCACTCTCATACCAGCTGGAGAGGAAGGATAAGCCAGAAGTTGGCATACTCCCCTGGGACTTGGGGAAACAAAGGTTACATTTCTCACATCTTCCAGACTTTGTGTGTGATATTGGGCAAGTTATATTTCCCATATTTCTCAGTTCTTCATCTGTAAAATGGGTTTAACAGCTCTACTGTACCTCACAGAAGCATCAGAAAGGCAATTACACTAGAGACAGAGGTACTCACACTACAGCAATGGGAAGTCATACTAGAACTCAAGAAGATAGTCTCAATGTCTTATTTCCTAAACATAAAGCATGCTTATATTAACACTACTGTTTATCACTGTCTTTGTCTTCCCTTCCTAATTACTATTTCTTAAATAAAGCCTGGGCAGATACACGGTTTGAGAATGCTTTGAAATACTGGCTCTTCAGATCATACGCTCTTTGTCTCAGGGCAAAACTTCCACACAGAATCCCTGTAGCATTCAAGCAAAGACCAGCGATGTGCACAGCACGTTCTCAGAGTGCTGCCCGGGGCAGAAGTCAAACTCAAGCCATAAGTGCTGCTCAGACTCAATGACCACTGCCTTACGCGAACAACAGGCTGCCTGCAAACACTCTTGCTCAAAACAGCACAAGTAATTTTCTCTCACGGCAATTTGGCTGAAGGCATATTGTAAATTTAGCTTTTACGCTGAATAACTTTGAAATGTAAATACTCCAGAAGGACAGGGGGTGACTGACACATGTTTAATTCAATGCAGATAGGACAGCATCAATTCGTGGAAGACGAGACTTGTAGTTTGAGCCCCAGACGTGCCAAAGTTTCAGTAACCACAACATTTTGATGTCACGTGATTTTGAGAAAGGTGTAACATAGGCCACACATGCCTCCCAAGGCTGGGGGCCAGGGCGACTGCCCGCAGGAGGTAGCAGCGGTGTCGGGAGTTTGGTGGTGGTGAGCGGGGACCGCACCGACACTGGTGGCGAGGGTGGGGACTGTCTGCAAGCCACCGCAGCTGTGTCAAGCAGCAGGGAGGTCCCCCCCCACAGCTGGACGCAGAGCCAGAGGGGGGGGCACCAGCACTCCACCTGCCCCCTTTGCCCGTCGCCTACGCCGAGAGCGCTCACTCTCCAGCGCTCTCGGGGGTGCACGTGCACACCCTACGCATCGCCTATGAGGTGTAAACTGATAACCCCTTATTCTAGTGATCTCAAATTTGGATCGCTAACACCACCCCAAATATCCACGTGGCATAAGTTTTCAGGATGATTTAAACCTGCACGCGGGTTTCAAAGCACTCGAGAAGTGAGCTACACAGAAAACTAGTCTCCAACTTATAACGGTGCCGGCACCCCACTACAATAACCTAGCAGGTTGCAGTTTCTCTCAACGCCACGAAAGGAAAAGCTAGGCAAACCCAGTCTACTCGATCCCTGCATTTACCTGTCCTCAATTTCCTGAAGCTTCCTGCGGGCAACCTCGTACTGCTGTTCCCCCATTGTCTGATCCATTTCTTCACAGGAAATTTCTAACATGCCAGCTTCAGGAAGGCTACCACCGCACTGACCTGCTAACGCCCCGGCTGCCTGCTGACCTGCGCAGAGAACCCATTCTTCGGGGCTGGGAGTCAGAGGGCAATGCTCGGCCGCAGTCAGTCTCCTCTTCCTCGCAGGGCAGCTGAGACACAAACAGATTCATAGTTGGCGAAAGGATAGTTGATATCGTGATGCAAAACAGTAAGATCATAGTCTGTCGCGTCTGCACTGCTGCAGAGCTGGCAGACCGCGAAAGCACAGTCTCCTTCGGACAGCACGCAAACGTCCAGTCGAACCTCAGCGCCTGCGCAGGTGGTGTCCTTACGTGAAGCTAATCACCGCGTGTCCCGGCAGATGTCCCTTGCGCGTGCTGCAATTAACCCAGGGCGCTCGCCTCCCACCCCAGGCTCAGCGCGCCCGGCCCCGAGCACATCTCCGCAGCCCCGCAAAACAGCACGGCGCAACTGAAAATAAAAACAGGTCTCAGAAAGCCAATTTAATTTACCCATCTGCTTCGTCCTCCAGTTTGTGTTTCCTTCCGCAGCGAACGGGAACTCTGCAAGGGGAAAACGGACAGCCGGTGACCCCGTGTTGCTGCGCATCCCTGCACAGAGC